GGATGGCCACACCGCAATCCCTTCTCCATTCTCCTCTCGGGATCTTGGGCACGCACGCACACGCGCCCGGCATGAGTTTAAGCCACCGGGTCCGGGACTTGCACCGTGGTCGACTACGTGGGAGTCCAGCCACGTAGCCATTACGCTCACTGCTGGTCCATCCCTTCCCCTCCCTCCCTCTCCTTCCTCTTCTTCTTCTTTCCTTCTTTCTTTTCTCCCTCCCTTCCTCTCTCGGTCTCTTTCTCTTCTCATTTTTTGGAGGTGTCTGCCTTGGGGTGCACTCGCCTGACACACACACAGAGAGGGAAAGTGAGACATCACCCCTGGGGATGGCCACGCCAGCCCCCCTCCACTCCCCTGGGGATCTGGGGCATGCAGGCACGCGCGCCTGCGTGAGTTTCAAGCCACTGGGTCCAGGACGTGTCAGTCATGTGGGAATCAGGGATGTAGTCGCCACGCCACCTGCTGGCCCTGAGATGTATTTTTTTCAGGCTTGTGTGCGTGCGTGCCCAAGATCCCGAGAGGAGAATGGAGAAGGGACTGCGGCCATGGCCATCCCCCCTGGGGGGTGATTTCTCGCTTTCTGTCTCTCTGTCTCTCTCTGTCTTTCCAGTGAGTGCACGTGCCCTCTAGCAAAAACCTCTTAAAAATGTTTTTAATTGCCTGAGGGCGCGTGTGCTCGCCAGAGGGACAGGGACAGAGACAGGCGGAGAGAGGGAGACAGCGCCCCATAGGGCGAGGCCAGCCCGTAACCCTTTCTCCTGCACCCCTCCCTCCTCTCAGCATTTGGGGCACACACGTGCAGCTGAGGTGGGTTCCAGCCAGGGCCGGGACTGGGCCGCCCACGGTACTCAGAGGGGACAGGGTGGGAAGACCGCACGGTGTCCCCTGTGCCCCTTGCACCGCGGGGATCGCAGGGACACCCTACGAGTAGCAAATGAGCTTCACCCAGGCCCCTCTGCTCCCGTCCCTGCCCCACCCCGGTCACGTCCCGTTACCATCTCCCGGGACAGCCAGTCCTGTGGCCGTGCGCCCACCTGGCCCTCCTGCCTCTGTCCCTCTGCGGAGATGCCTCGGGCACGCGTGTCGGAGCTGTTCGCAGGCATCGTGGCGTAAGCGAGGTGCTTGTCGGGAAGCGCCACCGCCCTGGGGAGCCGCAGGTGTGGCCGAGGCCCGCTGCCCTCGGGCTGTGCTTCCCCAGCGCCCAAGGCGCCCCTCTCCTGAGTGTGCGCTGCAGCATCGGCCTCAGCAGGGCCCGGCCGGGGGCTCTCGCGGACACCTGTGTTAGACACCCCCTGGGCGGAAGGGGTGTGTGCAGCCCTGGTCCGGAACCCTGGCCTCCTGGTTCTGGGGAGCCCTTCCGGCCTGCTTGGAGCAGGACCCCGGGGAAGGAGGCCCCTAGGATACCTCAGGGCCCACCCCCTCGAAGCTCCCCTTGGGGTGGCTGGCGGGCTCTTTCCGGAACCCCACGGGTCACCTTTGAAGCCTTCCCATTGCCCCTCACTTGGGAGTGTGCCACCCCTCTCCTGGGGGGCCCGCCCCCTTCTTCACACCTTGGCACCAGCCAGTCACCTCCCCCGCGTCCCTTGGCCTCAGCTGCTGCTACCTCCTCTGGCAGCCTGCCCCGGGCTCCTGGGAACCCACGCCCCGAGCTGGGCTTGCCCTTCCCTGCTCAGGGACCTGCCGCGCAGTCGGCCTACACCAGCACCCCCAGTCCCTGGTGGGTGGTGGGCACACAGGGCACCACGGCGGAAGCTCTGGTGGGCTTGGGGAGTCCCACGTGAGGCTCGGGAGTCACCGTCATGGACCCCTCGCACGAAGGGGGACATGCCCTGGGGGGCACTGGGTGCTCACATAGGAGCCCCCTTCGCCAGGGGGTGGCCATGCCGCAATCCCTCCTCTGTTCTCCTCCCGGATTTTGGGCACACACGCACACACACCTGGTGTGTTTGCAAGCAGCAGGGTCCTGGGGGACCCAGCCACAGTAACCAGCAGCCCCCAGCTGACCGGCCTTGCGCTTCCCAGAGCCACTGGCTGGACACATCTGCATTCCTAGAGCCCAGAGGATGGGAAGCTGATTTCAGGGACCCGGCTGTGGCCAGGTGGCCCGTGCGCTCCCCCCAGGACAGAGCTGAGGTCCCATGGCATGCCCCAGCACGACTCCGGGCGCATGGGAGTTTGCCATCCACTGTCCCGCACACTACGAACAGACTAGGGACTGCGGGGCTCTGCGGCTCCGGAGCGGGATCCCTGCAGGCCCGGCAGGCGGCAGGCGGCAGGCGGCAGGCGGAGGCAGCCGGCCCACAGCACGCCAGCACCGGCGCCAGCAGGAGGCGAGTCGGGAGTATGAAAAGCTACGTTTAATCGTCAGGCCCAGACCCAAGCGAGGCGAACGTCCGACGTCGGGCAGTGCCGCCGCCCCGTGCTGGGGTTAAGGCGCGCTCAGTGCAGTGGGAGGCAGGTGGCCGCCGCAGGGTCGGGAGACCGAGGTCCAGCCGCCCTCGCCCAGCTCCTACGGAGCCGGCAGAGCGGTCGGGGGCCATCGTCCCCCCAGGGTACGCGGGGCTGACGGCGTCGGAGGCCCTGAGTCCCCAAGTCCCCGTGCTGGTGTCTCCTGCCAGTGGCACAGCAGAGCGGGGCCTCCGCCAGGGCCCGCCCAAATGGCTCAGCCTGGACCCCTGGCCGAGCCCCCCTGGGCGGGCTCCGAGGGCCACATGCAGCGTCCACCGCGGGCATCCCTGTCGGGGCCCAGAGAACCCCGTCGGTGAGGTAGAAGGGACGCCGTCCCGGGGTCCTCTGTCGGCAGGGCCGGGCGGGAGCGCGTGCGGGACGAGGTGCTGTCCTGCGGGCCGTGACGGGCGGGCACAGCGCTGCCACCCCTAAGCGGAAAGCGACAAGCAA